TATGTCTGAAAAACTAAATCTTTTCTATATCATACCTGATAACTGGTCATTGATCTTTTGCTTGATGACGTCTAATGAAGGGCACAATCTCCACCCTGAGGAGGCCCATTCTTCTTCTGCTCAGCACTATTAGAATGTGTTTTTTTTTTTTTGGTGAGGCAACCAGGGTGAAATGACTTGCCCAGGGTCACACAGCTAGTAAATGTCAAGTATCTGAGGCCAGATTTGAACTCAGATCCTCTTGACTCCAAGGCCAGAGCTCTATCCACTGCATACCTAGCTGCCCCTACAATGTGTTTCTTGGTATCAATCCTAAATCTGCATTTTTGTAGTTTTCACATGTTGCTCCTATGTCCAAGAAGAATGAGTCTCATTGGTCTTCCATGAGACAAGTTGTCAGATATTTGAAGATGGCTCTCATGTCTCCACTAAATCTTCTCTTCTCCAGACTAAATATAGTCAGTCTCTGTAATGAATCTTCAGGTAGCATGAACCTGAGGCCTTTCATTGTCTTGACTGTCCTCTTCTGGACATTATCTATCTTATTAATGTCTTTCTTAAAACATGGGACCCATCACTGAACACAGTACTTCACATACAGTTGCACCAAGACAAAGGAGAAAAGGCCTTAATCCTCCTTATTCACTGGCTTTCTTGGATGGCACATAATACTTCTGGCTTGTGTTGACCTTTCAGCCAACCACAAACTGCTACCTAGCCATACCTCTGCCCCACTCACCCCCAATCTTGTCATTGTTAAGTTGATTTCTTGAGTTTGTGTAAGATTTTACATTTACGTCTGTTGAGTTCCATCTTATTTAAATATCAAATATCTGAGTGGGGATTCAAGGATCAGGAGCAAACAGGAGAGGAGTTGAGGCTATGCTAAATGATTAGTGGACTATCTTCTGTCAAGTGACTACCTTTTAGTGAATATCCAGATGGGCTTGGCTCTGGACAAATGGACTTAAACAATGTCTCACTCTCTGTCTTCTGGACTGGTTCTATAACAACATCAAATGAGTTTCATTCAACTTCCTGATCCCCCTTTCCACTGTTCTCTCACTTCACAAGGAAAACTGCAAAGTCATTTCAAGAATCCTATCATAAGTGGCTTTTAATGACTCACTGGGGTTTTGAGGATAATTTAGAATGTACCTATGGTAGCTTTTTTCATTCCTAGCTAGTATTTCTTCTTCATCCACCTCTCTGTCTCTGTTTCATTCTTAGTCTCTCTTTGTCTCCATCTGTCCCTTTCCTTCTTCTGCTCTCCCTTTCTCCTTCTTCCCTCCTTCTGTCCCTTTTCCCCCTTCCCCTACCTCTTACACTCACACAATGTGACCATAGGCAAGTTTCTCTCTTCCTCCCTCCCTTTTCCTCTACCTTCCTCTCCCTCTTTTGGTCTGTCTTTCCATGTGTTTCTTTGTGTGACCTCTCTCTTTTGGCATTTGTGTCTCCCTCTCATACATGCACATACTCCTCCCTCCCTGAACTATTTCTTTTCTAATTCAGTACTTGAATGCATACAGAGGCCCTAACACAATGAATGCCTTTCCCTCCTCTTAGAAGGAAAGAAAAGCAAATGGAAATACTACATTCAAAATGACAAGGAAAAAATGGAGACATCTTTCCTTGAGAAGACTGCAAAATGCCTGCTGATATTTACATGATGCTGTGTGTGTGTGTGTGTGTGTGTGTGTGTGTGTGTGTGTGTCTGTGTGTCTGTGTGTGTCTTTAATAAATCCATACAATATTCTGTCTCTGGGAGAAGCCTCTCCAAAAGTTGTACTTGTTGCTATGGTAGCTCTACTGCTTTAATAACTGTAAATAACCACATATGAGTTACTGTTGTTCAGGATATAGGATGGAGGTTTCCTTGTCTTTTCCAAGAATCACTTCCATCATAACGGTGGACATCCCTTTGGGATAGTTCTTCCTTTTGTTTTCCCAAAGCCAAATTTTGTTCATGATTCTTATCCTTATGATTTCCTCTCTTCTCATCTTTAACCAATCATTTAACAGATATTTATCAAGTATCTTTCATGAGCAAAGTCTTGTGCTAGGCCCCATGGGAGAGAGAGGCCCCTCCCTTCAAGGAGATTTTGGCACAACAATTTGAGGAGCCATGAATATGCTTAAAATAAATAACATAAGATTGTACGGGCAAATGTTAATGGAGTGGCTCAGATAATAAGCAAGATTGAGTTCAAAGGAGAGAGAAATTCTCACTGGTTGGGAACATTTGAGGAAGATTTCTTGAAGAAAGTGGGCATTGAACTGAATAATTTTGTTCTGCCTTCTGATATCTTTTTTTACTGTTGACTTGTACAATTCATCTTTTTTTCCAGTGTTAGATGAAAACACACTGGGTTGAAAGTCAGAAGGCCTGATTTCTAGGACCAGCCCTATCACTAGCTAACTATGTAACCTGATGGAAATCTTTCCATATGGATCTCAGATTTCCCATGTTTAAAATGGGGGCATTGGACTAGATGATCAAATTCCATGATTTTATTTGTCTTGCCTGTGTCCTGTCTCTCTAGCTAGATTATAACGTCCTTGAGGGCAGAGATTATGTTGTACACATCACTACATCTTCGGCAGTGTGTTAGTGGCTTTAGCATGCGGCCTTCCCCAGAGCTTGCCTATTGCTAGATAGGTGCAGAGGATGGAGGAGGACATTCTGGGGAGGGAGAATGGCATTAGCAGAGGTTCAGAGGCATAGGGGCATGTTCTAGGGGCCCATGAGGTGATAGATAGAAAGAAGAGTCAGTGACACAAGGGAAGGATATGAGGCCACAGTCATTGACACACTTTATAGAAACAAGTGGAATACATTTCACTCGATATAAATGAATGATGAGAAAGACATGTAAGCCTCTATGTATCAGGATTCCCTAGCCCTATCACTGATTTGCTCATGGGAGAGGACGAAAGTACGGAGAATGCTCCCAAGAACATATACACTGTAGTATACACTGACCCAGGACTTGTGTTGTCATCACTTCTCCTTTGACCCCGACTTCCGTCCAGAAAAACTTGCCAGTTTCTCAGCAATAACATGTGGTCAGAAACAAACACACCAGTACTCTAGGATGGAAACACCACCCCTCCTCTGATGTCATTCCTAATAATAGCAATTCTTGTAGAGTACTCTACAATATGCAAAATACTTCACATGCATTTTTTTTCTTGGATCTAGAGGCAGCTAGGTGATGCATTGGATAGAACACCTGGCCTGGATTCAGGAAGGCCTGAGTTCAAATCCTGCCTCAGAAACTTGCTACCTGTGTGATCCTGGGAACCCACTTACTTTTTCTGTATCTCAGTTTGCACGTCTATAAATTAGGGATAATAATGGCATCTGCATTTCTGGGTTGTTGTAAGGATCAAATGAGATGGCATGTATAAAGAACTTTGCAGACTTTAAAGGTTCCATGAATGCTATCATTATTATCCATCATTATTATCCATACAATAATCTTGTGAGGTAGATACTAGATAGGTCTTATTGCCCCTATTTTATAGGTGAGGAAACTTTGCTCAGAGAGTTTAAGTGACCTGCCCATGGTCATAAAGTGTGAGTGTCAGAGATACGATTTGAACCCAAGTCTTTGGGACTTCAAATCTAGCATTCTTTATTCAATATCCCAAGCTTGCCCTGGCAAAGGCAATCAAGAGATCACATACTGCCATGTGAGTGGGACATGCTGAGAGCCTACCTCCTGAACTCACATTTCCCAGCTATGCTTATAACTTCCTCTGGCTTAAGCCTACATTCTGTCTGTACACTCTTTCCACTTATTATTGCAAATTGGCTGATTTGATCAATAATATACCAGCTCGGTTCTCGCTGTCTGAGTCTCCTAAATGCCATGGCTAACCACAGGCCTAAGGGGAAGTGCTAATGTGATCAGCCCTCGCTCTGTCTCCCAGCTGTTCCCCACAGCACCCACAGAGCAGAAGATTCACAGAGCAATCTCCAATGCAAATGAAATACCTATGTGCTGGGGAAGATGAAATTTTTTGGCCTTAAAAATATATGAATTTATGTAATATAACATTAAAAGCATTCCTCATTGTATTTGTTTGCCTGGTCTGCTCAAAGTAGTTATCTGGTCCTGCCTAGGGGAGTCTGGGTGCTAGTTGCTTAAGAAGATTTGATCATCATTAAAATGTTTGCCTCTGCTCTTTGCTCTTTTAGATACTGAGATTGGATTCCAGACCCAATGACTAAGTTTTATACATCCACACCAAGCAAGTGCCCACCATCCTTCTTCTTTAAACATTTAACTCCATTCAAATGAAGAAGCATCAATGGATGTAAGGCACTGTACTAGATAAAAATGAAATATCCCCTCAACAAGGTTGAATTCTATGGGAAGACAGAGAGTGAATACAGATAACTGTAAAACAATGCAGGAAGCATGGAGTAGATGTGGTGAGCAAAGGAGGGATCACATCAAGAACTCTAGGAAAACTTGAGGTGGCAAAGAACTCTAACAACCAGGGATATCAAGGAAGGCCTAATGGAGGATGGGCAAATGAATTGAGATTAATGGAGTGAAGGCAACAATGAGCAGGATCTCTACATCTGGTCTCATTATGAGGAAGGTAGAACAGTGCAGGGAGGCTCTTACTGATCTAAGGAGAGTGGGACAGTTCATTGGATTTGTGACAATAGAATGTAACCCCCTTGAGGCCACGGATTTTTTTTTTCATTTTTGTTTTGCCATTGTATGCCCAGCTCCTCCTTGCATACAGCAGGCATTTAATAAATAAGTGCTGGTTAAATTAGTGATTAAATGAATGATACTTTCTCAGATACTCACCATGGTGACTAATGATACACCCTAATTAGGGTAAGAGTGCACTGGGGCATTGGGTGAAGTGATCTGATTGGCTCATATGGAGATTGACTTTGTAAGCTTCAACCACCATATTGACTCTAAGTTCTGAGGTAACCAGGGTAATGAGTGGGTGTGGAATAGTGGTAGACAGCTAGTTGGAAAGTCAGGAAAGCTTGGATAGAAGATCCACTTTTGATACATACTGGCTGGGTGCCCTTGGGCGGATCACTAACCTCACTGCCCCAGGTAATTCTTTTTTGATATGAATTGTAGAGGAAGGGCCTAATCTGCAATGATGGAGGAAAGGGAGTTCCCTACCCCCATGAGAACTACTCAGAACTTGTCAACCTGTCTTCCTTCAAATCAAGCTAATAGTATGGTGGGGGGGGGGGTTTACCTCCCCCCTCCCCCATAAGACAACATAGCTTTGAAATACTTTTGTGTATGTAACACAGATCCTCTCAGCCTGTGGGGGTGGTGCACTCTCCTGCTTCCACTAAAGAGATTCATGTCTGGGACCATTTGGAGCCTGGACTCTAAAGTTATGGGGGAGAGGAAGGGGAGTTTGCTACTTTTAATGTAGTTCTGGCTCTTTATGTCCTCATTCCAGAGTCTCTGGGGAAATCACTTAAAGCTTAAGATTGGCTCATGTTGAAGTTCTCTCCAAAATGGTCTTAATATACAATGTATATCAGGCATAGGGCAGCTATTTATTTCCTCTACCCAAAAGAAATGCATAAAACACAAAAGCCTCATAAACATGCATTGATAAATATTTAAAACAAAATACAGTCACTTTTAGCTTCTATTGTGTCTGCCCAGAAGATTGATTCTTAAAACATGGAATATTTAGTGGCAGTATTAAATTAGGCATTTTATCTCTTGCATCAGCATCATTTTGTCCAAATAGCTTGTTCAAGGTCCACCTTTTCTGTCAAGCTAGACTAAGGCTCGGACTTGCCCTTTTTTGATGAATTGTAGCATCTTCAGGGAATACCTCTTTCAGTGTAGATAATACTGATTGAGTAACCAAGAAGTTTCTAATCTCTAAAACTTATGACATTTCCTCCCAAGTTGGAAATGTCCACCTCAAGATTGTTTTTTGACTTGGAAAGACTTGTATGATCTGATGCTAGGTGAAGTGGGCAGAACCAAGAGAACATTGTACACAATAACAGCCATGTTGTGCGATGACCAATATTGATAAACTTAACCCTTCCCAGCAATACAAGGATTTAAGACATCTCCAAAGGCCTCGTGATGGAAGATGCTATGCACATGCAAAGAAAGAACTATGGAGTTTGAATGCAGATCGAAGCATTCCCTCTGCTGCCATCATAGAGACCAAGAGATTAATATAACATCCCAAAGCACCAATTCTATTAGTGTTTAGTCAGAATCCATGTGACCCACCAGGTATGACCTAGGGATGCCTATTTCAGCTCCATACATATTTCATTGCTATATTCTCTAACCAGAGCAGATTAGGAGGGTGGGGACAGTATCAAGATTATAATCCATGATTTATTGAAGATACAAATGTGTGGATAGGGTGCCCATTTCTAACATAATAGTTAGTTTTAGTACTTTATGGTTTGTAAAATAATTTCTTTAAAATATCCTTATAAGGTTTGTACAAGTATTATTACCCTAATTTTACAGATGAAGAAACAGAGACTGAGATTTTAAGTGATTTTTCCATTCATAGTATTCTACATGTTCAATAAATGATAGAGCTGGAACAAAATTCAGGTCTTCTGACTTCCTGTCCAGTACCCACCCCCCTCTACCATATCATTTTTGGTAATCCCGGCCACCATAAATCTCACCCTTCTGGGTGATAAATTGCTTCTTCTAAAAATCTCCCAGTTAAAATTGCCTTTCACAAGATATTATTTTAAGGTCATTTTGTCTCAATAGAAGTTGGATTCTAAGTGATTTAATTTTTTTTTTTGTCCTAGTTAGAGTTTTCCCCTCTCTCTCTGTTTCTCATCTTATCCCTGGGCTTCAGTGATTCAGAGATGTTGCCAGACTTTAGGAAAAACTCTGACTTTAATGAAATAGATTTTCTCATCTTCCCTTTCCTTCCCCCAAGAAAACTTCAAACTTGGAAGCTCAAAGCTGAGCCTAAGGGCTCTGGGTAAATATGCATGGAGATAAAATAACAATGTGGTTCCAGAACAGACAATCCTGATGATATTGCTTCTGTGGATTTCTCTCCCTCCCTAAAGTTCAGTTGACTGAATTTCTTCTCAAGCAAATTGATGAATCCAGTTGAAAAGCACATGCTGTATGCTGGTTTTGGAATTGGGTTAAGATAATAGATGCAATCACCTGAAATTTAGGAGGAAAGTCCTTTGCTCTGATATTTTGGTGGCATTGCTAGTAACCAGGTTATAGGAGGGCAGTTTATGACAAAATGTCAGACATTGCTTCCTATTTACTTGGACTTTGTCTGGCTCAGCCATAGGAGACCATGCATGCTGCTCCATGAGCTGCTCCCTTATCTTTTTAAGTTGTCCCTATGGAAAAAATAGTGTTTCTCAGCAATAATGTTCTAATGTGGCTGGGGAACCAACCTCAAGGCCACGTGTGGCCTTTTAGGTCCTTGGGTAAGGCCTTTTGACTGAATCTGAGTTTTACAGAACAAATCCTTTTATTAAGGGCATTTGTTCTGTGAAATTTGGATTCAGTCCAAGGGCTGCACTAGAGAGGCCACAGGTTCCCCACCCCTTGTCTAAGACAATTCCAAAAGATTCATGTTAGAAAATGCTATCCACATCCAGAGAAAGAACTATGGAGTCTGAAGGCAGATTGAAATACTCTATTTTCTTTTTGTTGTTGTTTTTTCTTTCTTAAGGTTTTTCCATTTTTTTCTGATTCTTCTTTCACAACATGATTAAGGTGGAAATATGTTTAATATGATTGTAAAAAAAATAAAGGTGGTCCTCTGAATGCTTGTCACTTTATAGTGTGATCCATGTTGATATTATGGGTAGGAAGGTGGAGAGAGCCTGCAGGAGAGAACTGAATAGTGTTCTAGGTCAAGAACAATCCTCATAGTGAGGAAAGAACACTGTAGTAGGGAAGCAAGAAACTGAGTTTGAATCCTAGCTTTGGTATGTACAACCTCTGTGACCTTGGGTAAGACACTTGGTTTCAGTTTCCTCACCTAGTCATACCCATCTTACCTTCCTCCTCAGTATGTGAAAATACTTTGCAAATGGCAAAGCACTAAAGAATTGGCAGGTATTTACTGTTTATTATTATAATTTATTATCGTAATTATAAACCCAATCATCCTTTTTTATATGGTCCCGCTTTGCAACTAGTGGAACATGCAAGATATGGAACAGACAAAAGCTCATTGGCCTATGTAGGGATTAAATCCATGGTTTTGGTCTCATTATTACCATGCTCTAACTAAATTGTCCTGTTTGCCAAGAAAACAAAATGAAAGGTTTTTGCCCGCAGGCTTGAACATAGGGGATGGTGGATGGATCCAATTAAACATAAAAAAAATTTACTTAAAGAAACATTGCATGCCTGTCTTAGGTAAGCCACTGTGCTGGGCCATGGGGACAAACATCCCAATGACACAATCCTTACCTTCTAAGAGCTTATATTATATTGGAGAGTGAGATATGATATGTATACAAATAAGTAAGATATAACGTAGAATGTAGTAGGTACAAAAGAGAGATTCAGACGAGGAGAAAGAACAAACTTTCAGCAGGGAGGTAAAGGTGGGAGGACTAGATTAGGAAAGATCACCCAGAGAGGAGGCCCCTGCATTGGTCTTTGAAGGAAGGTATTAAATGTTCTGAAGTGCAGAAATAAGGAAGAAATGCATTCCAAATATATAGGAGATGGTCTACATGAATACCTTGGGAAAAGGTATACCATTTACTCCTCTATAACTCCAAACACCATCCTTGTATCTTTCTAAAGCAAACTACTCTTCTTTGGTCACCACTTCTCTATAGGTATTGTCCTGTCCCTGAGTGCTTATAAAAATGATTTTTAATTTGAAGTTTGAGTGGCTGATAAGGTAATGAATGTAGAACTTGGTTGTCAACAGTGAATGTAGGAAGAAGGTAAAGGAGTTTAGACTACCCTTTCTAGGAGGTGAATAATGAAAGGAAAAGATATAGAAATTAATAGTTTGAGGGAAAGACAATGTCCTGGGAAGGTTTCTATAGGATAGAAAGGTGAGACCCCAGTATTAGGCAATAGGAAAAGAGCCAGTAGATAGAGAGAGATCAAAGAGGAAAGAAGGGAGAAGGTGGGAATATTCAATGGGGACAAGCTTCAGAAAGAGAGGGGAAGAAGAGGATGTAGAGCATTAGCCTTGGAAAGGAGTAAGGCTCTTATCTTCTGAGACTAGAGCAAAGGAAGAAAGAATGGATTGTTATGTAGGATAGTGGAGATGAATAGTACACAGTTAAACTGATTAATTATGAGGTCAAAACTGTGAATGGAGGAAAGTGAAGCTAGAACTGGGGTGATGGACTGGCAGGAGATTGAGAGGTTGAGGCAGAAGAGGTGAAAGTGATTTTGAAGAGCAGGGTTAAGGAGATTGAAACAATACTAGGAGGTCAAGAGATTGTGATCAGAGAGGAGAATTTCAGAATTTAACATCATGAAGGTGACACAGTTTTTGGTGGTGATCAGTCAGGTCTACTTTGAATATGGTCTGTGGTTGAACAAGGTAGAGTAGAAATGGAAATCATGGGTTTTGAGGAAGTTAAACTGGGAGGTCAGATGTTTAATTATCATAAGATATGTTACTCTGTGAAAAAGCTGAGTCCAACTCTTTGTGAATAGCTTTAAAAGTCTCTAATACAAGATTTCATCATCATCATCATCATCATCACATACATTTGCAAAATGTGTTTTTAGTAGCATTTCACAGTTACTGTCTAATATGGTATTTATATCACATATATATGTGTATATGTGTACATGTATATGTATGCATTACTGAGAGGTAGATGGGACAGGATTTATTGCCACCATTTTACAGATCAAGAAACTGAATTATAGAGAGGTGAAATGACATTTTAAAATCATGCAGTGAATCACTGGCAGAAGTAAAATTGGTACTTAGTTCTCCCGACTCCAAATCCATGGCCCTTTCTACAGAATTTAACTTTTTTTTTTAAGCTGAGTGCTAATGACATCAGGCTTTCAACTGCTTCTTCTATTCTGATACTGTGCTCCCTTTCTTAAAAGTGAGGTACCTG